TAAAATGATTATTATGTATGAATAACCATAAGAAGTTTCATAATAGATCTCTTTATAATTGAGTTTCAGAATTATCTGGAGTAGGTTATTTTGCCATTTTATATAGGTATTGTAATTAAATAAGAGCTTCGCTTCAAAAGGTCTACTCCAGTATCTTTCTTAAATAATAACTGTAATTGAGAAAATTAAGAGAATTAATAATAATTGATGCCGTTTGAATTGATAATATTGATTTGAGTAGCATAATAACATTTAATTGTATTATAAAATATAAAAATTGCAAATAAGGATTATGGAAACTATTCTATATTATGTTCATTTTATAATTTAGGACTGGTTATATCTGAATATTAAAATTAATTACATGCAATAAGTAAAATATCCAGATTTATCAAATTCAAATTAGGAAACTCTATCCTCACAATTGTTTGAGAATACTAATTAAAACATTAAATTTATACCTGTTGTGACACAACATTAAGATTAATTTTCCTAATCAATTTATGTTCAACCTTAAGTTTCCTTAAATCAGGTTGCTCCTTATTAAGAGTTTGCAAATTATCAGGTGACTCAGGAGCCGATTTAAACATCCAATCTAATCAAAGATTAAGAATTTTAAAAACAAAAGAAATTTTTAATGCAAATTTTAGGAATTTTCATTATTTGGACAATTGTGGCCTCTTTGATATACATTTTCTTCTGCTACACTTTGTTTCGAATACAAAGACTTGATATAGTTTTTTTTACTTTCCTTTTTATATCTGTGATCCTAATCCCAATACTCATCAAAATTGGAATCGGGGAAAGGTTTAGGAATGTAATGCAAAATCATATATATAGAAATCTACCAGCATTTGTATCTTATTTGGATTAATTTTGAATCACACAATGCTTTATTTCGGAATCTTTGGTATTATAACTTATAGAATTAATGATTATTGGGGAGGTAAAAATATTATACTATAAAAGCCTTGGCTGTATTTATCATCTTTTAAATAAATATAGGTGTAAACTTCATTAGTAATTTCATCATGTTGATATATTTATGGTTTGAATAAAATCGTATAAAGATGATTTGTAAGAATTTAAATATCAATTTAAGATGTGTTTGTAGGACAACTATTAGTTATTGGTGTTTGTTGGATATTTTTAAAATAAATAACATTATTTTTAGTTTTCACCCTCCCTTACCCATTTTGTGTACTGAATGTGCTGAAGCAAATCTAAAAAGGACGAGTAAATATTTATTTTTAAATTAGTTTAAATTGTAAGATGATCAGGTAATTACAGCATCAATTACAGCTTTTTATGGAATGATAATATGTTGTGAAGACTGATATTTATAATAATTTAATTATATTTACATACATTTTATCATTTTCTTCAATAAAAGTAAATAGTATTTTCTTTTCTTTTTGTTGATATCAAAATCTAATCTAATAACATTAATAACTATTTTTATTTTAAGGAAGAATTTTTAGTATCAAGTGTGAATATTGTTATTTATTAAGGAAGGAGATCAGATAAGATATATTGTTTTAAGAACTTTCGATTTATATTTCATAAATGGTGATTTTCAAATATATTTTACTCTAGATGTCTACATTTTATCCATATTTAAACAAATTTCTTCTTCATCTCTAGATGTTATATAGCAGCTTCATCATTATTTCGATGATATAGAGCAGCTTAATATTATTTCATCATTTTAAATTAATTATATCTTAATTAAAAATAATCATTAAAATGAATAATAATGAGGCTCAGAAGAAATTAACCTAAAATAATTAATAAGTTTGAGATTCCAGTAATTATGAGATGATTGAATTATGAGAAAAAGGGCAGGTGTCAAAGATTGTTTGCTTTATTTTTCGTGATACAAAACATAAATTCTGGTGAAAATTCTTTCAAAATTAAACAAATGTTCTTTGCCAGTAAATTTTCAAATTATTTTTCATCCTGCAAATAAAGTATCTTTTTAATTTAGTTATCATTTACAGGTGAACAACCGTCAAAGAGGGTTAGCCTAATACGTTCATTATTCGAAAAATTAACCCTGCAATTATAACAATTATGATTTCATATTAGGTTATTAATTTTTAATTTCATATGAAAAGCATTTTTAAATTAAGAAATGTCTGGATCTTTATCTTTGAGTCAGGACAACTATCACGAAGTCAAAAATTTTATTTGAATTATAGTAGGCTAAAAATAAGGTATTAAATGTTTCCATACCCAAAAATAAAGTTTTAATTGTACAAAACATAAGTTCTCATAAATTAGCCCAACTTATAATGTACAGAGCTCATATTGATTTCAAGAGTTGGCTGAACTTAATTAGAAATTTACTTAAAATGAGTTAGGATTATTTTAAATTTTATCTGATAAAAGAGCATGAAATTATTAAATACAAAAGAAAGCACATTTATTAAATCAGTAAGCTGATAAATCTTAAAGATTATTATTTTTTGGGTATAATATAACAATAATTTAGAAAAAAAGAGTTAATAAATATCGACTTAAAATTGTTATTTTAAGTTTTTTATCATTCTATATATTGATTTTGTTTTAATTTGAAAATTATTATTAAAAGAAAAGAAATCTGAAAAATAACTATTTATATATATTATTCCTAAGATGTTATAGGTAGTATCTTGTAATATTACCATCTTTCGCATAACATTCATTTCAAAGTTATTTGGAATAAATGGAGGTGAACTGAATAATTATATTGACATATTAGAGAATTAATTGAATTGAATTTTGGAGAAAGGTAAATTTCAAACTAGTGGATTTTGATCCAAAGCATAATTCTGTGGGAAGGGTGTTTAGTGATTAATTTTCAAGGTCTGAACCATTTGAAAAAAGAAGATGTTGTAGGTTCTATAAACCTTAAAAAAGTACTGATCAGACTTATCTTCAATACAGAGCTTAGTAAAAGCCCTGAAGATTTGCCTTGTAACTTGGAATTTACAATTCTATGTAGAAAGCAAAATTTAGAGAAAAGGGATTAGAGAATCTTCAACTCTTTCTTGAATAAAGTAAATAATCTTTATAAATCAGGGTGAAAACAAGAAACTATCTGAAAATTTTTCAGTATAAGCTAAGCAAACCCAAGGCCTGTCTATTTATTAATGTTTGAATAATTTAATAATGATAAATATATATTCATAAATGCAAAATAATTAAATACGCTAATTGGTATTGATTCAAGAATAAAAACTATTTGAAGAAGAAAAATTAAATTTAATTGAAAAATAACTTTAAAGATAAAGGATTATGCGCAAAGAGAAATTTTATATTGTTAATTTAATGATATCACTAAATTTGAGATTTTTGGTCATTTATGAAAAATCGAAGGTCTCATCAAAATGTTAAGTTTATAAGAGACAATAATTAAGAATATTTGACATTTAATAAAATAGAACTTTAACTATATTAAAAGATGTAGCTATGAAAAATGTAAAATTTACATAGGATTCAAAATATTTAATCATTTTCACTTTACTGGGATAAGTAAAGATCGTTGAATTTGAAACCCAAAAGTCTTATGATACAAAATTTACAACTAATTTTCTAGCCTCAATTGATTAAAATAATAATATTTTCATAATTGATCAGGAGTGGAAAATAATTAAGTATTCAATACCAGAGAAGACCTATACTACGTGTTGTTGTTTTCAATCAGTCTCAAATTGTATTAACTTGTTTAAAGAATATTATTTAATAACCGTTCAATAATATTATTACATTTTATTTTTAAGCAAACAAAAATTAGCTAAATAGAACAAATAGTCTCTTAAAATAAGCGAGAACGATTTCATAACTATTTTCTTAAGCTTTCTTTGTGTTAGGATGGTTGAAAATAATAGAATAGAATTCACTGTAGAAAATTTATTTAGTGGAAAAACCATTCGTCGTATAAAAAATAAAGAAGGAACTTCAGGTAATATATTCGAAAACAAAGATTCAACCTATTTTTTTGGGTTTTCAAGGATTTATGAAGAGAAAATTCAGTTTTTCATTTTTGATTTAATTAGGGGTATTAAGTTTGAATTGATTTATGATAAAAATATTCCATTTTAGGATTTGTATGAAGTATTTAAAATGAAAGATTCTCTAATCGTGGGCGTAAATAGATATGAAGGGATTTTAAGATATTTTTAATTATCTAAATGACATAATTAATATATATTAATGATTCCTATCTAAATTGACTATTTTAAAATAATAATTACGTGAATAGTATCCTCCAATAATTCATTAATTCTACCTCTATAATCTTTATGAAATACACTGAGACAAAAAAAATGTAAACTTCTATTATGATTTCTATTTTATAGCATTCAAATCTATATGCTATTCAGAATGTATTTTGAGTTCATGTCTACAATAAGATTTCACCATTACAATCTGAATATTCATTCTTAGAAATCAAATCCTGAGATTGAAAGTTCTATTTTTCCTTATAATAGAATCAGGCATCATTTAGTAACAATCTACATTAGTCTATTTTTTATAAATTCAGCCCTATTCATGATCTATTCACAAAACATAAATTATTTGCTTGAGTTATTTTTCGTTTCTTCATTTATGTATCTCTTGATTCCTTCTCCATTAATTTGTGAATAGAATCGACACTTGAAAATTGAGAGTGATAAATTCATATATTTAATTATTAAAACTTTATTTTACATTATACATTTCTTAAAAATAATACAAAAAAGGTCCCTTGAATATCATCTGTGTAAAAGAGCAAATTGATTAGCTTAAAGTTTATGCCTCTCTTAAAGATGCACTATAGAATCTTATATTTCATTTCTTTGTGGATTTTAGATACAAACTCTCATTTATGTTTTCAAAAGTTTAGTTTAATTCTATTAAAACCTCAAATTAAACTCAGCGGGTTAATAATATTATTAATCTAATCAAAAACCAAATAGCAATAATTTTCCTAATTAATCTTCAGAATTACCTTCTTCTGTTTGGAATTATGTAAATTCTTTCTAGCGCTAGTTAAACTTTTCTATCTATAGTTTTATCAATATTATTAGTAAAATAATAATTAATAATTTTTAATAATGAATTTCAAACATTGAAACCGACTTGGAATATAAATAATAAGTTCTGGACGAAAAGTAGTTGAAGTGGAATCAAAAAATAAATTTAATAAATTTACTTGATTTTAGAAATGAACATAATATTGTATTCTAATTTTCTTAATTTTTAAGATTTGACAACAAGATTGAGTAATTATTTCGTAGACAATGATTGTAAATATGAATTAACTAATTCTCATTTTTTTAATTTAAATCTATTAAGGAGAAGAATATTTATACTTATTCAAACAGATTAAAATATTTTTTATCAAAAAAAGATGATTCTAATGTCTCTAATGGCTGTACTTCAATTAGAAGAATGAAATGTGGAAAATATTTTCGCCTTTATACTATAACTGTTAAAGTAATTTTCCATAATCAGATGATACAATCATGAAGCTCAACATTTATAACTCTTGGTAAAGATCTAATTAAAAAAATGACTCAGAATCAACATATAATTATCGATGCTTTCAGACCATACTTTATTTTCGAAATTATTTATAAACGAACAGTTGGTTTATTATTTATGATAAGAGGACACCTAAAATATTATTTGGATTAGGTTATGAATTTTAATAAACCAACATAAATTCTGAGAACAGAACTAGATCTTATAATCTTATATTTCTTTTTTGAAGATTATATATTATATATCCAACATCCTCCTCCGAGCATCTCGGCTAGACTGGGTTTGGAGGGACTTCATCTTTAAATCTCACTTTCCTCCTCTTCCTTGTTTGTTGCCTCTTTTCATATCATCGTGCCAATTCTAAGTCTGTTTCAGCTCCTCGGATGACAGGACAGGCTCAGGAGGTAAATCTTAATGACACGCCATTTATGACATCACAACAATTTATTTTTTTATTTTTTTGAAGATTTTAAGTTAATTAGGATAGATTATTAATTATTTAGAATTCTAAAATTAAAAGTCTATTATTCCATAAGTAATAAATTCCCTCTTTGTTGTTATTAATGCTAAATCATAAATTGTACTTTTTAATAAAACCGAACAATGTCATGAACATTATTGAAATTTTAGTTGGAGAGCTGATTCTTCCCTACCTTGCTATTTTAATTTTCTGTCCTGTAAAAAAATATCAATTCCTCCAATATTTCTATCCCTATGCTTATTCTTTTTGATTCAATTTCAGCAGTCTAAACTCATGGTTTCTTTTTCTAATTTGGTGTATTTTTAGGCTAAGCTTCATCTACATAATAGTTTAAAATTCATACTTTTTTAAACTAAAGTGTTGTAACGCTGAAACGAATCTCTTTTTATATCCTGCTCTATTTCTTATATGCATAAACTTCAATCCATTTCAATTATAAACCTAATTTCTTTGTTTCTCGTGTTAAAAATCTAAAGGAAAATATTTTCAGTCATCGCACCCCATCTACTTACCAGTCCCTTATTCTAATGTAAACTGGTGGGCAGCAAGAAATTCCTCTGGATATGACATCATTAGGAATTTTTGATAAAAATTTAAAAAAAAGTTGCTATTTGCTATTAGATAAATTTTAGGAATTGAAAGACCTTTTCTTTATAGGAATTTTTTGCAAAAAGTCTTAAATACGATCCACATTCTATTTTGATTCAAATTTCTTACTTTCAATATTGAATCTCTTTCACAGTTTTTTGTAAAGGTTTCAATGATTGAAAAGTTGCACATATTTATCCTAAAATACTTTATTCGAATTGGTTTTACTTTAATTCTATCTTTTAAGGTTATATTACAAATAAGAAATGCGACAGAATAAATATAACTGGAATAATATTTATTAATTGCTTGTATATTTGATAAAGTTAGAGATACATAAGAACGATAATGATTTAAAAATGCGTCTTAGTTTAAAAGAAGTTATTTGAATTTAAATTTAATTAATAAAAATTTAAATTTTTTCATAATTTCTGATTAATATTATGATATAATTGAAAGCTAGAAAACAAATAAATAGGTTAAATATAACTTTTTCTATGAAGTATAGAACCTAGAGGGACTATTTTTCTGTTAGTCCCATAAGATTCTTCCATGTAGGAGGCTTTTCTATTGTTTTTATATGAAGTGGGTAAGAAGACATTTCTTTTCAAAATTTCAAAATCTGGCTTTATGGTATAGGAATCATAGGATCTGAGTAAGAAGGCAAACCTTGCCCAAAAGATCCTAAGTTAACCAACTAGAACATACTTATTCATAAAGATGGCTTCAAATTCAGAGTCCATCTTATTTTATTTGCACAAAATTTTAATCAAGCTCAGTGCTTTAACCATGTTTAATCTCTTTCCTACGACAGGCTTTATTAGCCTTATTGTACTATTGTTTTTCATTACAATCATTCTGCAAGAAGTTTCTTAAGTTCAATAAGAATTTTTCAACTACCCCAATTAAAGATTCTTGAATTAGCTTATCTAATCTACTTTGAAAAAAATATACATTAATTTAGTTTTCTAAAATAAATAATCAGTTAAATGTAAGGTTCTATCTGATTTTATTTTTGATAACATAATTCAAAACAAAGGTAGGAAATAATTACTGCTAAGATTCATTTTTTTAAGTTGGAACAGTGTTACTTAAAATTGTTTTTGGGCTACTTATTTTGATGCTTATTATTTTTATGTGAAAACTAAATTGTACATTTAACAATAAAGAGATTGTCTTTATGTCTTTTTAAAAGGTTGATCCTGTTAATGTCTTTGATAAATATAATTATTGATGGTAAATTTAGAATTTAACATCATAATTCTTAAAGAATAATATAACCATTTTTTCTGTTTTTTTCTTAAATGCTAAGACAGAGGCAATCAATACACGTCTTCAAAGTACTATTTTTATTGATTAATAATTCTAATAGGTACTAACTCAAAAAGAAATTTTATTAATTTATATCAATAATTCATCTTCGAAAATTCTATTTTTTCAAAATTGCAAATAGGTATGAATTTCAAATTTAATTCGAATTAATTTTCAATAACTTGTAATTTTAACTAGAAGATATTCTAAAGACATCGAATAGTGTATGGTTTTTCATCCTATAGAGTTGGATATAGGTTATAAACGCTAAGTCAAAGGCCATTATAGCGTAAGGTTAACCTAGTACCAATATAGATCTGATTAAATTTATTTTACAAAGTGATATCTTGTTGGATCATTTTGCTTAATCTCTTTTCTTTAAGTTAATTTAATTTGAAAAGGTGATAAAACTATTGAAAGCTGGTTAAAAATTAGGGTTTATCATGGATTCATACTAGCTTTTTCATGCAGAGTCCATAGATTAGAAAGGGATAGATTTAATATAGCATTTTATATTGACCACGGTAATACATATTTATTTTAATTTATTAAAAGTTAGTTTTTATAATATATAAAGTGGACTATATTAAATGGAAAAAAGAGGGAATTGGANTTTCTATTGTTTTTATATGAAGTGGGTAAGAAGACATTTCTTTTCAAAATTTCAAAATCTGGCTTTATGGTATAGGAATCATAGGATCTGAGTAAGAAGGCAAACCTTGCCCAAAAGATCCTAAGTTAACCAACTAGAACATACTTATTCATAAAGATGGCTTCAAATTCAGAGTCCATCTTATTTTATTTGCACAAAATTTTAATCAAGCTCAGTGCTTTAACCATGTTTAATCTCTTTCCTACGACAGGCTTTATTAGCCTTATTGTACTATTGTTTTTCATTACAATCATTCTGCAAGAAGTTTCTTAAGTTCAATAAGAATTTTTCAACTACCCCAATTAAAGATTCTTGAATTAGCTTATCTAATCTACTTTGAAAAAAATATACATTAATTTAGTTTTCTAAAATAAATAATCAGTTAAATGTAAGGTTCTATCTGATTTTATTTTTGATAACATAATTCAAAACAAAGGTAGGAAATAATTACTGCTAAGATTCATTTTTTTAAGTTGGAACAGTGTTACTTAAAATTGTTTTTGGGCTACTTATTTTGATGCTTATTATTTTTATGTGAAAACTAAATTGTACATTTAACAATAAAGAGATTGTCTTTATGTCTTTTTAAAAGGTTGATCCTGTTAATGTCTTTGATAAATATAATTATTGATGGTAAATTTAGAATTTAACATCATAATTCTTAAAGAATAATATAACCATTTTTTCTGTTTTTTTCTTAAATGCTAAGACAGAGGCAATCAATACACGTCTTCAAAGTACTATTTTTATTGATTAATAATTCTAATAGGTACTAACTCAAAAAGAAATTTTATTAATTTATATCAATAATTCATCTTCGAAAATTCTATTTTTTCAAAATTGCAAATAGGTATGAATTTCAAATTTAATTCGAATTAATTTTCAATAACTTGTAATTTTAACTAGAAGATATTCTAAAGACATCGAATAGTGTATGGTTTTTCATCCTATAGAGTTGGATATAGGTTATAAACGCTAAGTCAAAGGCCATTATAGCGTAAGGTTAACCTAGTACCAATATAGATCTGATTAAATTTATTTTACAAAGTGATATCTTGTTGGATCATTTTGCTTAATCTCTTTTCTTTAAGTTAATTTAATTTGAAAAGGTGATAAAACTATTGAAAGCTGGTTAAAAATTAGGGTTTATCATGGATTCATACTAGCTTTTTCATGCAGAGTCCATAGATTAGAAAGGGATAGATTTAATATAGCATTTTATATTGACCACGGTAATACATATTTATTTTAATTTATTAAAAGTTAGTTTTTATAATATATAAAGTGGACTATATTAAATGGAAAAAAGAGGGAATTGGATTATTATGCTTAGATATTAAAATTTTAATATAATAGAATATGAATATTTAATTGTTTATAATTTTATAGTTTCAAATATTATTTGCAATTAATAGACATATAAGGGTGAAGATAGTTAAGGTTAAAGGTTCGTTAAAAGTGTGGTAAATGGGAGATAAGTTCAAAATATCAAATTCTTTTTTACTCTCACTCAAAAACTGATATTCCCCATCCTATTTAGGTAAGTTTTAATTGAAATCTACTTTAGTTGCAAAAGAAGATAAATTAAATTCTTATAATAAACGATAAACTTTCATTTGTTTTTGAAAGCTTAAAGGAATTCATATAATGATCCTTTCAAAACACATCAAAGTTTCTTAATATTAGTTCTGATTCTTTAAAGTGTTTCATTTTAGAATAGTTAAACTTGTAACTTACTTAGATATATTTTATTCCAGTGGAATACCTTAAATTTCTAAATTTGTTGATAAGATTTAAGCACATAATTGCATCATAGTATTGACAGAGTAAAACTTTATGATAAGAAGATGAAATTTTATTCTCCTTTTAGTATATAAGAGATAGATGGCCTCTCAATTTATAAATACAATTAGTTATAAATAGAATTGAATATTTTGAATTAATCAGCAAGACTCCAGGAAAAGGTTTTGTTTATCTTGGCAGAACATTCTTATAGAAATTTGTTATTTATTAGAAAATAATAGACTTTCCCATATAAAACTACATTATAATTCAAGCAAATTAAAATTTGACCTATTATCAGCTTCTCCGCTCATAGATTATAATTATAATTTCACTTAATTAGGGCACAGAATTGAATCGTGATGTTTAATAAAAACTATTATTTTATGATTATACTGAATTTATAATTCATTATTATGTCTAAATTTTAAATTTGAATTCTTCAGATATCTTAATCAGATGATAGAGGATATTAAATTAATCTATCACCCTTAGAAGATTTCAAACATAAGATGATCTAAGTATTATTTTGAAATTCGGTTAAAAATTTTTATATAAGTATCTTATTTATAGATCTAGCTAATTAAATGGAAAAGTTTAAAATAAGATAAAATTTATTTAATTGTAATATAGGAGAAAGATCAATACTTTATATGTTCTTGATTGTGGTTCTTGCATTTACTAAGTGAAAAAATCTTCCTTTTTAAATAAGTTTCATTTATACTTTCATATTTTGATCAAAGAAAGTTATTAATCGATATGGATGCTGAGAAATATATTTTCCAATCCTACTACCTATCTGCAATATAATTTATCTGTTTAAAAGATTGAAAGCATACGAGTTTTAACATTATTTTTATGCAAAGGATTTAGGTATTATATTGATTCAAAATTTTCATATTAATGAAATTCCTAAAAAGCTTATTCATATATTTAAAAGTATAATATAGATATTTCTAGAATCTAAATAAGAAGAATATTAATTCTGATATTACTTATATAAGGGTTTAATCTTTTTCAATTCAGATTTGCTAAAACAATATTTATGGCTCATGTGAAAATAAAGTATTAAGTTTTTTAATTATATGAGTTACTTTCTTAATTTTTAATTATACTTCTAGATTATTCTAGAATGCTAAGAAAATTATTGGTTATTACATGAATATCAATTTTTATTTTTTCGATGGTATAAAATTGGATCGTGTGAAATTTTATATATTAATGGTAAGCATAACATATTTTTGAATAAAAAGGATTAATGAAGCGAGATCTTATTGCAATTTAAGATTACGACTCAAACATTAAAATTTTTTATTTAGAATTCTTCCTCTTTTTATTGCAGTAATCACAATAAATGACAATGAATTATATAGTTAAACTAAATGCCTCTGACTTAGAAATTCTTTTTAAATAGTTATTGTCTCAATTTAGAGATATATAATAATGATGTAAATTGAAAATAATTTGAAAGGTAATATAGAATTAAGAAATCAAATTTGTTAATTCCAAAGAATACAAATTTGATAAAAATTCAATTCTAAACAAATTTTTGCTTTTATCAAATAGATTAAAATAATATTTAAAATGTAATATATAATAATATTTGATAAGTTATATCAATTGGTAGCTTCAAACAATTTTTGATAAGAATTATAAAACTCTGCTTTTATCTTTAAGTAATCTAATCCATTTTTCTTTAAATAAGAAATTGCTTTTTAATAAATTAATTACCATGAAGCTTTATCACTCTAGCAATGCAATTCTAAATAAAATATAGAAATAATTGTTGTCCATACAATGTCTTCATAATGACTATCATTATTTAAACCACAAAGATTGATTGAATCAGTTATCCTTTTCTCTAAAATAAAGCTTCCATTGGCCTAAACACACTATAGTAAATCAATATAATTTATTAAAACAGCTGCTTTTTATGAATTTTAGTTAATTTCTTCATTATGAATCCTTTATTAAGCAATAGAAATAAAGTTTTCTTCAGATTATTTTTCTATTTCGATTTCATTTGTTTATAGAAGTTGTATATTATTATTATTATTATTATTATTATTATCGCTATTGTTATTGTTAAAATCATTGTAATTCCATTAAAAATTATTATAATTATTAGAGGAGCAACGGGCAACCTCTTCATATTCATAGTCATCAATTGCACAACAAATAAATTCTGAATCATATTGATAATCGATTATGCTTCTTGTGACTTTTTTAGTTTTTTTTTTATTTTGATAGAGTATTTTTTATTTAATTAACTATTTAAACTCATCCTCCAAATGGCATACTTCACAAATATATGCCGTTTTTCTGCACAAGATTTGATGTGATATGGATAAATTGATTATATCTTCATTAGTCAATATCTCTTAATTGACCTTAACTTTATTGACTTATTTTAAGTTATTTTTAAGAGAATTGTCGTAATAATTTATCAACTTATGAGCTGCAAGTTTATGAAAGTAATCTTACTGTTATGATTCACTTATTTTCAACTTGTATTTGTGTGACATTTACTTTTATTTTTAAGGATCAAAACATTTGATCTGAAATTCTAGTGTTTCCGTGATGGGTTAGGGAAATAATATTTAAATAAATAATTCTTCATTTTTTTTAATTGTAGTAATGTGTTCTGGATCGGGTATAATTTGTGATATATTTATTTCTGGTAAGTCTAATTTAAATCCCTATAAATATTAGGTCATAGAATCTTCTAATAAATCAATAACTTTAACATTTATATCTTCATCATCTAAAACAAATTAACATTTTCCATTTCCTATTTCTGAAATTCTTTTTAATAAATACTAACTACATCCATCTCCTATCCCTAAAGTATAAACTCTAAAATTAGATTTGGTATAATTTTGAACTAAATTTAAAATTCTTTCTGGAGAATCCTCTCCATCTGTCAACAGAAAAGCATTATATGTTTCCAAATGGCTTTTACTATCTTCATCATTATAAATGCCATACTTCAGTGCTTTATATATATCAGTTCCTCCTAAATCTGCCTTCATACTATTTACTTATGAAACTGCTTCATTTAAGGTTTTCTAATTATAATATTAGGGTTTTTCAAACATACTTTTTGATTCATTTCCGAAAGATATAACATTAAAGAAGCAATCTTCGGGTAAACTTTTTAAGAATAAAATCAATGATTGTTTCGCTTTATTTATTCTTTAACCTTCCATCGAACTACTTCGATCAATAAAAAAATAATAATTTCCTCTATTTGTTTTTGTTTCTGAATATAAATTTAATCCATTTATGTATGATGAATAAGCATCATCTAAAGATACTTCATTAAATTTTGGGATCAAGGTTAAAGTTGCACAGTATTTGATATGTTATAAAGCATCATTATTAGTATGAGTAAGAAAAGAATGAGGTTAATTAATATCATCAGATGAAAGTAGCAGCTCAAATCTTTTATTAGGAGCAAAGTTATCTGGAAATTTATTATCAAGAATAATTACTTAACCCTTTGTAAAGTTTTCTTTGATATTTTAATGATCATCAGTATTAATTATAATTTTATGAGTTGGGGACTTTAGAAATTTTATTGATCTTTATAAATTAATGTATATTGTAATGTATTATCTATGGTTTTATTAGAAACCTTGAACATCCACACTTTTTTTAATTTTTTTATATAATTAAGGATAATTGACTGATTAGTTTTTTAACTTATGAACTGTAAGATAGCTTGAATCTACCATTGGGGATAATTCCAGTTTCCAAAATTAATTTAAATACACTTTTAAAGGCTGAATATATTCAAAAGTAATTTTTAAAGTCTTTCCTGGAGCCAAACTTCCAATCTTGACTTATTTTAATTCTGTTATATCTTTATCCTATTAGCTGATAATCATGGTTTTTCCATCTATTATACCTTATTCATACTCTTATTTTGCTTCCTCCAATTCTTTTACAATTCCTAAGACTTTTAAATCACCCAATTCAGCGATCATCTTACTCACTGCTGAATCCTTTTAGATAGTAAACATATATTCTAATTCAATCGGAACTTCATAGTGCTATGTGTTATAAGTTTATTATATTTCTACAATTGCTAAACCAGGTTAGACATTTACAATATAGTTTACCTATTCGAGTGATATTGGTAATTTATTCTTAACATCATAACAAATTAATAAAGGAGGAGCCTCAATTTCAGAGAAATTTGATTAACCTTGATGCAAAGACCCATTGATATTTGGATGAAACATAGTTACTATTATTATAACTAAGAATCCTTGTGAAATTATGCATTTATATAAAAATTCAAACTTAATTAATCAGAATTATTAAGAAGATATATAAATATATGTTTAATATCACAAAACTCCTGGTATATATGTTTCTTATAAAGAATTGAAAATATACCTAATGAGATAGAATACTACAGGAATTAAATCTGTTAAAAGAGGTACCGTATTATTTATGAGGGCCATAAAGATAAATAGGGAAGAATGAAGAAGTTTGTAAATGGAAACTATCCAGTTCTAAACTCAATAATTTAATTTGGAATAGGCCATTCTCATCTAAGTTATTGAATTGAATGGATCGTTTTTCACAACCTTAATCACTAAGATTCAACAAGGTGGAATTCAACCCTGTATTATAGCTTTGACCTAATCTATGTCTATCGAGACTATTGAGATTCTAATTTGGCCTAAGCTAATTTCAATTAGCAACTTGAATTTCAATAATGTTTAAATTTATCAAAAATTTAATAATTAGTCTCGGGAACACCAAATGTCATACTATTTTATAGCCAAAATGAAGAATTATTGATATTGAATGGTATTCTTATTTTATAAAAATGATATTTGGAATTTCATCTATTTTAATTCCTGAATTAATTACAAAATTATTAAGGTTCTATTAAGGAGAATAATACCATACAGATTATTGAATTATTTAAAAAATGAAAGTTAAAATTAAAATTAGAATTCAGATTTAATGTAAATTGTATGTTCATATATCTAATTTTATTTTATCGCGTGCTATCGCAAGTTGACTTCAATAAAAGTAAATTTTCTTAGGGTATTAATATCCAAGATTCATTATAGATGAGAACAATTTTAATATTTTATTTGTAATCTCAAAGGAAGGTTGAACTAAATGAATGATGATTCATAAAAGTTACTTAATAAAATTTCCTTAAGGCAAATAGAAAATGAAAGCTTATATTAATAATTTTAAATTAAATTGGTGCTTTGATATAATAATAGAAAGTATATTTAACTTAGTTATCACTCAATCAATTTTTGAGTTATTAACAAAAAATTATTTGTTTATATAGAAATTAGAGGTTAATTTGCAGCTTTTCAACAGTATTTGAGTGTTGAAAGTATTTTTTAATTGAAATGTAATTAATATTTTTAAAGAACGTTTGAATTTAATAATTTCAAGAAATATGATTTAATTTAAAGTGAGACTTTAATTTGAATAAAGTCTTAACCAGGTACATATGAATAATATTATCCAAGATTTCAATTTCCTTATTTCTAACTATTGTTTTAAGTTTAAAAAATCTCGGGAAAAACATTAATTGAAATTGCCTAAAAATCTAGTCTGGGTATTTAAAATTAGTATGATACATAATTAAAAACTAATTGAATTTCGATCTACTTTGTCCTTTTTTTAAATCATTTGGTATTGCAAAATCATTTTATTAAAGAATTTAAATAATAATAAACCTTCATTTTAGCTTTTTTAAATTTGAAATAGGTAAATTTCTTTTAATCGTTCTTCATAATTAGCTTTCGTATTAATAAATCTTCTATTCTTCGTAACTATTACTTCATTTATTTATCTGGAACAATTTCTTAAATATTAGAAATTGTGTTAAGTTGTACTTGATAGATTTCTTTATTCATTACTTGAATAAGCTTATTTTTTCAAAAAGTTTCTAAGTTCCAGAAAATCGATATCATGTTTCAGGATCTAAATTCCTTCTTCTACCAATCAAGTTTCTATTATAATTTGCCTATGATCATAATAATTGAACCTACTCAAATTTTAGTAACCAGTAAAGACTATCAAGGTAAAGAGTTCTTATGAAGAATATCATATCAATCAATTTTTACTTCAATGATGAAAATTTTGCTTATGTAAATAATAGATAAATGATTATTATATTATAAAGAGGCCATTGATTTAATAATTATTGCCTTCATATTATTTTGCTGTTCTAATATTTAAAGTTTGATATAAAATTATACCAAGATTTTATAATATATATCTTTTTAATTATTAATTTCAATTCTAACAATGAAATTTATAGATTTTGACACATTTCATTCAATGACAATATTAATCAATTTAAATTTCATAAAAAATTTAATTCAAATATTTCGCATTCTGTTATCTGTGGTTTATCCTATCCAAATAAATGAGTAGAACTAGAATTCTAATATTTATCCCATTAATATGAATGACCCAGTTTTGAATAACCATCTTGTAAATCATTCGAATTTATTGCTAGATCACAACCGCCTCCAAATCTAGGACCATGTGAAGACCAACTCGAAATTGCATTTTATTTGTTCTCTAATTTCAAAGAGTAGATTTAATCATGCGTTTAGGAAAAGATGAATGATGATAATGTATCATCTTAAACATTATTATTAAGATTCTGTTACCATTTACATGGAGAATATCCACCAAAGATATGCCCACTTTAAGATTAGAATATCATAATTAGATTACATTTGCCATTACATTTAATCCAAAATTAATCCTTATTCAATCCATCTTTGGTTCCTTAATATATTAATTTCGATTCTTTTATTGTTTTTTTCGATTTTTCTTATAAAATAAAAAATAATCGAATCCAAAAATCATCTTTTAATAATTTAGGTTTTATACTTCAAATAATTTTTTTATACTAATTTATAATTTTAATTATTTCAAAATTTGAAATCTCATGATTAAGTGGTATTAGATGAATATTAAAGTGAGATTTACATTTTGATCAGAAGTACCAGTGATTTCTGTAATAGATTCATTTTTTTTTGTGATACACATACCTTCAATATGTCTGTGATTAGAAAGTAAGTTAAATTAACATCCACTCCAAACTTTTTATTTTAGTTGAAATTTCCAATTCACATAATCTGATTTCATAGAATAGGATATTAAGGTAAATCTTTAGGAATAGAAAAATATTAAGTGGGCTTAAAGATTAATAATTGAAATTATTAAAAGAACACAAAAGCAGGGGTTTTAAAGGTTTTTGAATTAATAATTATGAGAAGCAGCCTCTTAGATTATCGTTTAATCAAGAATAATTAAATAGAATAATCTCTTTCAATAAAAAAGATTATTCTATTTCAAGATTTTCAGGAAGGAGGTGTTTGGGGTAATTTTTATAAGAGACAATGATGTCTTTGGTTGGATTTTTTTTTTTGGGCAATTCTTGCAAGGAATTTTAGGGTAAGTTAGTGAAGAGGAAAAACCAGAGCTCTTTAAGATTGTAATTATTTGAAGGAGAAGAGATATGAGATGGAACACTATAGGATCTGGCCTGTAGTCCATATCTATTTGTCATTATTAACTTACATAAGTTTATTAACTAATTTGAGGAGGAGAAATAAAAAAGAGAGAGGATAAAATCTCCCTTGTAATTAATTACTAATTGATGGATAGAATATGAATAAATTGGTCTATAGAGTTGCTTTATTTAGAAACCAAGGCATCAGTTACATATAAATGATTCAATGATAATTATTTAANTATTGCTAGATCACAACCGCCTCCAAATCTAGGACCATGTGAAGACCAACTCGAAATTGCATTTTATTTGTTCTCTAATTTCAAAGAGTAGATTTAATCATGCGTTTAGGAAAAGATGAATGATGATAATGTATCATCTTAAACATTATTATTAAGATTCTGTTACCATTTACATGGAGAATATCCACCAAAGATATGCCCACTTTAAGATTAGAATATCATAATTAGATTACATTTGCCATTACATTTAATCCAAAATTAATCCTTATTCAATCCATCTTTGGTTCCTTAATATATTAATTTCGATTCTTTTATTGTTTTTTTCGATTTTTCTTATAAAATAAAAAATAATCGAATCCAAAAATCATCTTTTAATAATTTAGGTTTTATACTTCAAATAATTTTTTTATACTAATTTATAATTTTAATTATTTCAAAATTTGAAATCTCATGATTAAGTGGTATTAGATGAATATTAAAGTGAGATTTACATTTTGATCAGAAGTACCAGTGATTTCTGTAATAGATTCATTTTTTTTTGTGATACACATACCTTCAATATGTCTGTGATTAGAAAGTAAGTTAAATTAACATCCACTCCAAACTTTTTATTTTAGTTGAAATTTCCAATTCACATAATCTGATTTCATAGAATAGGATATTAAGGTAAATCTTTAGGAATAGAAAAATATTAAGTGGGCTTAAAGATTAATAATTGAAATTATTAAAAGAACACAAAAGCAGGGGTTTTAAAGGTTTTTGAATTAATAATTATGAGAAGCAGCCTCTTAGATTATCGTTTAATCAAGAATAATTAAATAGAATAATCTCTTTCAATAAAAAAGATTATTCTATTTCAAGATTTTCAGGAAGGAGGTGTTTGGGGTAATTTTTATAAGAGACAATGATGTCTTTGGTTGGATTTTTTTTTTTGGGCAATTCTTGCAAGGAATTTTAGGGTAAGTTAGTGAAGAGGAAAAACCAGAGCTCTTTAAGATTGTAATTATTTGAAGGAGAAGAGATATGAGATGGAACACTATAGGATCTGGCCTGTAGTCCATATCTATTTGTCATTATTAACTTACATAAGTTTATTAACTAATTTGAGGAGGAGAAATAAAAAAGAGAGAGGATAAAATCTCCCTTGTAATTAATTACTAATTGATGGATAGAATATGAATAAATTGGTCTATAGAGTTGCTTTATTTAGAAACCAAGGCATCAGTTACATATAAATGATTCAATGATAATTATTTAATTGCGTTCTCTTTAATTTGTTACTATAAATAACAATGAAAGAAAATCTAAAGTAATATAGTTATTTTATATCTATGGTCTAATTATCATATGTTTCTTAAGCAAGGATTTTTAAATAGAGTATACTAATTTTTTAAATAAGTTTATTATAACTTAATGATCATAGAAAATTGAGCTTACAATTATAATAAGATTGATCTTTATCCTAATAGATTTCATAAAATAATAATTTATCAATAGATTATTTTAAGCATCCATCACCTGCCCCCTCTTTTTCACTGATTTAATAAATAGAACAAAAAGTGTACATTAATACATTCTTATACTTTACATAACTGCTTCTAAAATTGAAATTGTATTTCCAGAGACAAATACAAATCCATTAAAAAGACCATAAATTTATATTTTAACCTATGATTACAATTCATAATATCCTAAAATATCTCATGTTATAAACTATTAGCATATCTAATAATATGTTATTTAATTACGTCTTAGACCTAGGTAAGTTATCCATGTAAAACCTGTCAATCTCGAGAATTCAGCTTTATTAATAATCTCCAGTAATTGTTCGTTATTTTTCCAATTATTCCCTCAAATAGTTCGAACATTCCAATATCACAAAGGAAATTAAATAGTAAATAAATTGCTTCGTCTTTGTAATTAATCTTAAAACTATTGCATGTTGATATATTATTATAACGACTTACATGTAAGGAAACTATTAGGATATTTATTAACTTAAGATGGAAGAGACTTACACAATATTATGAGTAATGATGACAGAACAGGAAAAGAATAGAAGGAATATAACCTTATTAATCCTCTAAAATTACCCATTTACCCTTAATTAAGAAAAAAATAACAAATTTATCAGAGCCCTACATTTTAAAATGATTTAATTAATTATAAAAGCCAGAAAAAAAGCACTTAATGAAGAAAAAAAGAGCTGGTCTAAATAATCTAAGGACAAAATATCAACATTCATTTTTTTATAAAATAAAGTAAAAGAATATAGAGTAAAAATCAACAAACACTTACTTTCCAAATTCAAAGGGCTACTAATAACAGACGTATATTTTTGTGAAGGAGAGGACATATCAAATTAAGTATGCTAGAGAATTTATAAAAAATATTAATTAATTTTTTAAGGAAATGAGTCAACAATTAGTTCAACTAAACTATTTTAATTATATAAAATTTAATTTTTAAACTATGATTAAGAATGGAATATTTAAGCGATTTCATTCGTAATTGAATTATCGAAATTTCTTGCATAAAATCTGAATGGTTTTCTTTATTCAACAGAATAAATAAATAATCCTAATGCTTAATGTTGAAGAGAAGCTATATTTATCTCAAGAGGCTTAGTATATAATTTACCGAAAATAGCATTTAGATTAGGGAATAAACAAGTGACTATGCTGAAGTTAATGATTTAAGTGATATTTGCGTTTCTCATGTGAGTCGAAAATATAAATTTCTTAACTTCACTAAAATTTTAGATAAGTTAATTGGACCTAAAGTCAACTTTTATCCGGGGACTCCCTTCGAAATAAAAGTTAATTTTATTTTATCACTTTAGCATTTCATTAATTATTAAATTTAGCCATCTTCCCACATTTGACTTAGTGAAGGATGAAGAGAGGTTAAAGGAAATATTAATTAATGACCATAATAAAAAGAGATATAAGTTGAACTTGAAATTTACTAAGACAAGCGTTTCAGGGTTTACAAAGATGAATGTGAAGGAGGACTTAGAGGAGAGAATGATAAGTTTTTTGAGCCTAAATATGTAGAACTAAGAATTTAAATATATATAAACTTAAGCGATGGCTGAATTTAAGAGGAAATTCAATTAACTCTTCTAGCGTAGCACTTACATTAAAAGAGATAAGGTAGGGGAAAAAAGATGATTGTCTAAGCCGAATCATTTATTAGATAATAACTCAGACCATATCATCATTTATATTATTTAATATAAATAAACTTGTAAAAAGATAATTTGGTTTAATGCTTTAAAAGCGAAGAGAAGGTATGCCTACCTCAAGAGTAATTAACTTATAAGTAGCATTTCAATTATAGGAAAATCTAAAGTTAATCATTTCGAAATACTTATGTAATGTAGAATCGATACATATCTGGCCCATATTTTTGATAAAGAAAAAAAGGAGAAAAAGTCGGCCCATAATATTATTATTCTATTAAAATTAATTAGTATCTCAGATTCTTCTTTTAAAAAAAGGCAATTTTCAAAATAAGAAAGCACAATAAATTTTCCCTTAGAATACCTTAAATTGATTTTTTGAATCAAGTTTATTATTTTAGCAGCCCTTGCTCAACCTTAGAGGCTGTACATCTTCATTTCTTTGTTTCAATCCCCAAGAACATAAAAATTCAACAAGATTATTTAAAAGTGGACTTTTGATAAAAAAGAATGATTTTTTAAAGCAACCTATGCGACAACTTGGTAAGCTTCAGTTAATTTGGAGTAGTAGATTGGTTAGTTATTATCGTATCTCAAACTCAATTGTCTATTAAAGCATAACTTTGTATAAAGATATGTATAAATTTTATCTATGATTGAAGTATTATGTAGTCAGCCTAAATAAGTAATGGAATTAGGAATATGACTTTCAAAGTATGATATATTCTATACTAGATATATATATATATATGTATCTAATTTGATAATTTAATTTACTTAGTATTTTTGTCTTATTTAGATTATGATATTTTTGACCTAATCCAATCCATATAGATGATTATCATGCGTTTACCAGAAAGGAAACAAAGCATAATTTGAAAAATATTGATCAAGGTCTCATAATTCATAAGTCTGTTTGAAAGGAAATGCTGCGTAATACCCTAGCTGTTAGATTTTCTTCCTTAAGCACTAGTAAAGCTTAATTTCTCATTAATTATTTACTTAAAAGTGACAAATCTTGCTGGGAATTCAAATGTGTTATAAATTGGAGTTGCCAGTAATTTAGAGTATTATTATATGGTCATAAAGCTTAAATCAGCTTTTTCTGATTATGTGTATCTAACCAAATTGATCTTCACTTTTGCTAAGGTTAACTCTCAATAAAATATATTCTTTATTCTTTCTTGCTCTGCTTCATGGGTATTCTTCTGAACTTCTTTAAGTAATTGATATTACCTTTATTCTTGTTCATATCTTTAAGTTCAAAAATTTCTTGTCACAACGTGAGATCTTTAGGTACTCTCAAATTATGCATTTCGCATCTCTATATTTATAATTGTGTCTCCTTAAATGAAAATTTTTATTTGCCAAGACAGCTTGAAGAAAACCCCTAAACTCCTTAATTTGCAAGAGATGACTTAAAAATAATTGGGTAGACTCTTGTATTTTATTTGATATTTTTTAGAAGGCACCCAACTAATTCAGATTCAAATTTAAGTTTACAGGCAACTATCCTATTGTGTATCCTTAGAAAGGCAGTTAAATTCAGCTCAAGTGTAAATCAACTAAAAAAATGAGGCGTGTCTAACAACATTAATTAGGGATTAAAATATAACTCATCAAGTATTTTGAAAATATCCTTAATTTCAAAGAAACAAATTAAATAAATTAATATTAAAATCGCAAAGTAAAAATGAATCATGTATAGTTTTGATATTGGTTCAAACATTTATATTCTGTAATCTAATTCTTTTTTAACTTAACTAATTTAAATAACTTTTTAGCTTATGTTGTTATTTAGTTCTTAAATTTAGTATTAATTTTTTAGTTATTCTTCTTTTATTTATTGTACATAATTATTCTACTACTCTATCAGTTTTTTATTTAATAACTACTTTTCTTCATTAGATTTTTTTAATTCTAATTATATCCCCTTTTCAAATTCTTTAAGCTAATCTATTTTGTTATTCTAATCATCAATCATCTTCTTACTCTCTTATTCTAATTTCTTGTAGTCTATCTGCAAAGCGTTTAACTTGTTCTCTAAATTTTCAATATCACAAAATTTTTTTAATTAATGAAAATCATTTTGAAATTTATCAGTATAATCTTGAACACATTTTTGAAAGAATGTAAGATTTATATGATCAGGAATTTATTTCATTTTATTATTAATATTATTAATTTTTATAAGATGTTCTTAAAATTTGTGAATTGTTTGATTAAATAAACCCTATTAGCAATAAATTTATTTAGAAGAATTTAAGAGCTCCTCTAAATCTTGCTTTAAAATTAATTATTCTTAATTTCCTTTAGTGGACTCCAAAATTTGTTAGAATAATAAGTTGATCCCTTGAATTCGATTATCTTCTTTTAAAATATTTAATGACTCTTAGATGTCTAATTAATTATGCTATTTTAAGTGCTCCAATTTGTTTTCTATCTCTTTTACAAATAATAGATCCTTAGATTTTGCATAAACAATTTTTGAATCTTAAAATTGATTTTCTTTATCATACTCAATCAAATAATTAATATTTGAAACTAATTCTTCATTAGTTAATCCTTGGAGAGAGGTTTGCTTGAATTTGCAAATATCATTTGTCTAATTTATTGGTGTTGAAAATTCTGTAATTATTTTTTCACTGATTTCATTTATTTATTAATTGTAATTTTTTCTAATCAAAGCAACTTATTAATTTAATTTTGCTTATTTCTCTTTCCTTTTTAACTTCAAATCATTTAAAACTCGATCTTATTGTTATTTTTAAGAATTCCATTCCTGATTTACTTTCTCAATTGTTCTATATTAACAATGTGGATGATCACTTATGCAATCAACACACGCAAATCTATCATCTACTTTTTTTTTCTTTGTATCCATATCAATCATTATAATTTCCTTATTATGCATAGGGCAAATTTTGTTTAAACTTGGAGTTTTCTAAAATAAAAATAAATTTTACATAATTATTTTTATTTTGTTGGGGCATTAATTCAATTTAAAAATTTTCATTTATTTCATTGATCTTCTATTTAGCATCCTTAAATGCGTCGATAGTTTAAAAGTATGAAGCGTTATTAAATAAGAGTTCAAATTATTTAAAAATTTCATCAATAAATTAGCTATCTTATTAAAATTCGATTTATTTACCTTGGTATTCTGATGAAAGAAATTAAGATAATGATTTGACATCGTCTTAAAAATTCTGCTAGACCTAAACGCCTTCTAATAACAATTATTTTTCCTATTATACTGTATGAATTTAGGCTTTTATTTGACTATAAAGTTTTTCCAAGGTATTTTCAACAGTATTTTTGAAATCCATAATTTAATCAAGTATGTTTTTGAAGTAATCTAACCTCTTTTGGATCTCTTTAGTCTTATTTTCTTTTTTTTAAGTTTTAAGAGATGATATCCTATCTTTTGTTTATTCAATAGTTGATATTTTGTTATTATTCATTTTGTCAACTAAACAATAGCAGCATAGGTATTAAAACTATCCCTTTTCAGATGTGTCAAGATCTAGAGCAATTATCTCAAGTTGATGAATTTAACACACCATTTCCAGAACCTCAGGCTTTTATTATTGTATTTATGATGTTAAAATATTCATTATTATGTATGTGATTTTTATGATTATGATATTATTTGTTTTTTCACCTAATACTAATATTACTATAAGAGTAGAGATTGTAGAGATAACAAGAAAATCAACTCTAAGTGATGAATTTTTTCCTAAAATCAATTTTTCCAATTATTGAAAATAATGTCGCAATTTTCAACCCTAGGTATATTTAGCCTTTAAAAAATAGAGAAGTGAAATGAAACGAAATGTTTTGAAATCAAATTAGGATGATGTTCCAGATGATAAAGGAATGGATGTTTGAATTTTGAGAATCTAAAAATTATAATTTACCCACAATTGCATTTGTAGGCTGATATTTTTAAAAACTTCATAAATGATCAATTACATTCTTGCATGATTTGTAAAAAAGACCAATTTAATTAGAAAGTGCCACATATTTAAGCTTTAGTAAATATTAATTAAATCCAAAACAATGATCTTTACATCTAGCAATTATTCTCATGAATTTAAACAGTGTTCTTTTTTTTTGACCATTTCAATCTAGAATGCACACTTTCCATCGAATTTGGATAAAAACAATAAATGAAAATAATGCTAGGGATAATTCAAAAAATGATAAGAGCTACTAATACATATATTACTTTAAGGCATCTTGATTCTAATAGAATAAAACTAACTAATCTATCGATCATTGAATTTGTGATATTTGATCATACCATCTGCTTTCTAAACTTTATTATTCTTCCATCCTTTAGAAAAAACCATCTAAAATATCAAGCATATGGAGGATTTTTCTAATCGATAGTTTAGCAATTTTTCAAACTATCAAAATCTACATAAATCTAGAAAATGAACCAATAAAGACTATTTCATAACTTCATATGTGGTATATGTTTTAACCTAATAAAAATTAATAATTTTATCTAGATAAATAGACGAATATTATAAAAGAAAACAATTATAAATATCAAGAACGCTTTAATTTGATTCAGGGTTTTCTACATTTGCAATTAATCACCAGCTATGACAAAATACTATTTTTGGAGCTGAGAGGAGAAATTTTAATAACCGCTTCAATATGTTATTTTCCTAGAAACAAATTAATAATATGTCAATAAATTATTTGATTTAAGATGAATTCATAAATTAATTAGAATCCTAGATCTTTATTAGGTAAGCGCAATCGAGATTTTGCTAAAGATAAGAAACCACCAACATCTTTACTGTATATTGGTAGGTTTCTCTTAAATAATCAGATTGAACTAAGCTTGCCAAGTAGAATTAGTAAATATTTATTAAATGGCTTTTTAATTTGAATTAGTAAATCTATAAGATTTGATAAGAAAGGGAAGACTAAAATTTTAAATTATATTAATAATTACTAACAATAAACAGATTTCTAGGTATTTAATTTATTTTTAAGGCACATTTTTTACATATTACTCCACTAAGAATATAGCAACTAATATATTGATGGGCTTATTAAAAATCAAAACAAACAACCAAAAAGCCATGCTTCGATCGAAATATTAGGAAAAGAATTGATTTAAATAAATAATAGTTAATCCTTCATTATGAATCATGGTTTTTGCTTGACATATAAGCAATTTCAGAACTTTCAAATAAATTCATTTGTCAAACTTTGTAGAATATTACGAAATTATATATAATGAATGAGGAAGGTCATTTTATAAAAAGTTTTTATTTAAGATGCCATTAAACCTAAAAGGGAAGAGTCAAAAAATTACTCAAAAGCTTGTCATTTTATGGAAATTGATTCTCCTTATATTAGTATTTTTCCTTTGATATATTGATTTGCAACATATTATAAATTTTTTAGTACTTCTTACCTTAATAATCTTTTAACTCCAAGATAAGTTTTTTAATTAACATTTTAAAGATTTTCTCAATCTCAAATTAATATTAGTGAAATAGCATAGCTTAACATTTTTATAAATTCTTTCTTCTTACATTTTGCTGCTTCTGCATGTATTTATCAAATCAAATTACGTTTTTATATGAAAGGACCAATAGGAAGGCTTATATTTTTATTGAAGTGGAAAATCCCCATTGAATCGATAGATAGAATAATCATGTTGCAATAGAAAATATATAGTTTATTTTAAAATGGCTTTAGCTGAAGAATGTTTTAAGGGTAATAGTAATGCGATGATGAAAGCGTAGAATAAGAATGCAAAAAGTAAACCAATTCATTGTGTATTAATCAAAAGTTTTTATAAATGCATATAATGGGAAAATAACAACCTATGTGATCGATCTAAGAATTCTAATAAGAGAAAGATTTAGTTTATGAAAAGAAATGAATTCTGAAGGAAAATAAGTAAAAAATTTATCGAATTACTCTTCATTAATTATTATTAAGGAACCAATAATTTGCAGCTTTCATCTAAATTCTAATTGTTGCTAATTTCTATCGTTTATCCAAATTGAACTCTAAACCAGAGGAAAATATTATGCTAATGTTAAATAATTAAACCAAGTCTTGTGTATACCATTAGAAATCCTCTGCTTGTAATAGCCATAGTTAAAAGAAATAAGAAAAGCCAATAGGAAAAGCTATCATTTATCAGCACCTTCAAGCAGGCTCAATGAATACTTTTCTGTTTCAGGAACCTTGCCCCAATTCTTAAACAGATATTCCTCTACCTAGTAAAGCGTTTAATTTATTACTCTACTCAGTTCATTTGCTTAGATTTAATAGTAAAAGTAGAAAGTTCCTTGCTTATCATAGCATTTAATCAATCTTGAAGTTCTGCTTATTTCTGTAACCAAGGTTTAATTTTGCTTAATAGAAATCTACGTCATAAACTATCCCCAAAAATAAACATAAATATAGGTGTGCACTTATAGATTAAAAATTATGAACATATAAAGAATTAGGAAGTAATTAGCTTGTCAGCAGGATTTTTGAAGTATTGAGGCAATATGCAACATTAGATTAAGAAAGACTAAGAGTCAGTGCGTGAAATAGAGAAAGAGATGTTCAAATTTTGTTATACTTAGCACTATTCCTGACATAATTTCCAAGAGAGTCCCAAACAGATTACAAGTATTAAAATATGGAGACGAGCAGGGTGAAAGTTAAAAATATAGCATAAATAACTATTCCTATTTAAGGTGAAAAAAAAGTATTTATAGAAAAACATGCTGCATCATAGTAATATCCTGATCAAATACACAATTCATTGATGAAAGCCATATTCATAGGTATAATCCTTGCTGAATTACTAAAATGCAGGGTATTAACAAATAGTGTATTTTTGGAGCGCGCATAAGTTCATCTTACATTTTATATTTTGATGTTACAAAAATAGTTGATCTGAGTTACACTGCATTTAGATATGCGGCACCATTGTTGAGTAAACAAAACTTGTTTAGCTTAAACTTAATACAACGGTAATAACTCAGTCTAAAAGGTTTGAATATGCTAAACTATTCTAAAATTAAGTTAATGACATCAAGATTGCATAATCAAAAAAACAGTTCACTGCACTAATTACTTAACTAATTTGAGCGTATTTAATCATCCTAGCAATCGCTATATAATGCACAAGCTGTATCGTAAACGACTTCTAGTAGGAAAATACTTATATTTTTTCGATGCTTGGAGAGGCATCATAAAATAATCAGTTGTTTTTTGCAGAATATACAAGAGAATAGGACTGAGCAATGCGTTTGCAATCTCAATTATTGTTACGACATCTGACTAATCTTTGAATTTGGATGCCTTTTATTAGTATATTCAGTACAATAATAAACTTTTCGGTTGCAATTTACATAGAAATATAAGTAAGAGTGCAAGCGCAACAGGTATTTTGGCATTGTTTAAAGAATCACACACACTGTAACCTTGCAGATCTATGGGATGTTTTATAACAAATATTCACAAACACATACCATGCAACCGAATACTGATAAGTTAAAAATGCCTCGCTGAATTTAAAAAATATCAGGAGCCTTAAATAAAAGCATTTCCATACATCAGTAGTGATAGTTTAATAAAAACTAGAAACACTTGAGATGAAGGCCATGATAAAAAGAAGAGGAGTAAAGTCATTTGCTCTAGAGCAGAGGTGGCTGATATATATGCGAGAGCATTTATGGAAAGTGCTGAGGAATACCAAATGAAGGGAAACCTTAGAAAAATTAGGTATCTGTCAAATAGGAAAAATGAAAAGCTGGATAGCCTATCTATTGAATAGGTAGAGAAATTTAGGTTCTTGGAGGCATGGGTGACGAAGAGGATTGTTACTTAGAAAGCAACTTAACTTGGGATGATTAGCAAGATTATTCTCTTTAGATTTTTGACTAAGTTGTGGACTTTTTATATATTGCCTGATTATTAATCAGAGGGAATCGCTTTGAAGAATTAGAATAAAGATAAAAATCTCTACAACTCTAGTTTATGAATAATCTTTTAACTTTACTTTTATTATTAAGACCTGAAGGGTTGTTTTATGTGGTAGGCTTTAATGATGTTATTTGGATGTCAATACATGGAACTAGAGGTATGATTACAAAATGGCAGATTATTAGAAATCGCACTTTAGGATTGGTGTCAGAGGTCCCATATCCATCCATATTCCCAAACAACCTGATTTCTTAGAATTAATCAAAAAATCATATTCTTAGCCACATCAAAAGATAAGGAAGCTATTTAAAAATTAGTGAATAGTTTGTACATCTACAGTAAAACTAACACCTAAATATACCTAATATCTTAATAATTGATAATGCATCAAATAGAAATTAAACTTCTAAATCAATTATTATGTTCTTCTAAATATTATCTTATATAAGAGTCTTCGAATATATTAATAAATTATTTCTTATTTCTTTAGTTATTTAATTAGTTTCACCTTTAAATTTCATCTATGTTATTTTCCTTATTTTAAGAGACAAGCAATTTAATCTTCATTTTCTCAAAAATATTTTCTTCTACACTTTCTGTCTATTCCAATAACCTATTTGCTCTACTATCCTGCCACACTTTTTACAATTGAATAAACATTATTAATAAGAGATATTCATTTCTAGTCAATACCCAAATCATAGAACACTTATTCTACTTAATCTAGTTATATACTCTCATTTTAAATAAGAAAACTATTGCATAGTAGTATAATTATAAGATATAGCCTCTCATTATTCCTTTAAATCTCCTTAATATCATTTTCAAACAAAATTATTAACGAAAATGGTATTTTCCCTAATATTTCCAAGGACGCTTTAAATAATATACTTTCGAGAACTTTTCAGATTTTGATCTCCTTTTATTCATAAATTTCTTTAGCACTTGTCTGTGAGTAAATTTGGAACCTTTCTTAAAATTAACGATGCACAATCCTTTATTGTTAATAATTGAGATTGTAAATATAAATGAAGTTTTCTTCACAGATTTTCAATTTAATTTTTAAATTCATCATTTCACTCCTTATATTGATGGACTTTATATCCAAATAAAATAAATAAACAATTTCTTAAACCAAATAGTTAAAATATTCACAATAACTCTTAATGTCATTTCTCAGTTTAAGTCCAGATCCGACTCAGCATCAAATGCATAATTCTTGAATTTTCAAAAACAATTCCTTATTCGCTTTTATTTTAAGTTCAATTTAATTTAAAGTTTACAATTTTCTATAATCAATTAATTGTTGCTTTCAATTCTTCCCTTCTTAGATCGTGGTTATCGCATTGATGAATTTGATAAAAATTGTATAAATAAAAATACAATATAAAAATGGGTAGTGAATAGATTATTACAAAATTGTAAAATTAAGTTGAGGATTTTCTTTAAGAGATTTATTAAAGTATAGATGTAAGATATTAAATTGTTATGCAATCATTAGTCTTCATTCACTAGAATTGAAGCTTTCCTTGATTAACTTCCTTTAGCTCCAAATCCACCTGTTCCTCACTAAATTGTTAATAATGCTCCAAAAATGTAATAAATACAATTACCTTTGATTTAAACAATAGCTAATTAAGTAATTCAAGAAGTTGAACCTATTTTCAAATTAATCATTAATAAAAAAATTTAAAAGGAACGATTAAAGCTAGTTTAGCTTGAATAATCAAATATAATATTAGATAATCATCATTAATCCAATCTTTAACGATTTAAGTATCACTTAATTTAGAATTATTCAATTAAATAAAATGAATGTTGTAGAGCAATAGCTTTTAATAAAGATAATTCAATTGTATTAGCTACTTGTGAGAAAAAAATTAAAGTATTCGAATTTAAATAAGAAAAGTTGAGACAAACTTAAATTCTAAATGAACATTAAGATAATGTTACTACTTTAAATTTCATGAAGAAATCCACTCAATTTATATCTGCAAGTCATGATAGATAAATTATAATATGGTCTATGAATTCTGATAATTAATGGATTACCTAATAGAAATTGAGTGGACATTCTGATTGGATTAGGTGTTTAGTATTGAACAATAATGAAGATCATATCATATCAGGAAGTAGAGATAACACAGTTAAGTTTTGGGTTAAGTAGAATGAATGGATATGTTCATAAACTATTACAGATCATACAAAATCTGTATGTGGATTAAGTTTGAATGAGCAATAGAATTAAGTGATATCTTGTGGATGGGATAAATTGATATTAATTATTGAATAGTCATCATAAGATTAAAAATGGAATGTGATATAAAAAATATCAGTTGATGTGTTTGGTCGTAGATTATGCTTCATCAATGATAATGTATTCACATTTTAACCGAATTGTAAAGAGTTCATGGATGTTTATGAGATGAGGAATAATAATAAATAGTATGCAAAGACAAAACATATTCCTGTGAAAAGTGGTATTGATGGATGTAATTATTATTTTCCTTAATAATATATAAAGTTGAAATGTCTGATAGTTAATAAGAATAGTTAGAATGTGAATTTGATAAGGAAGAACCAAAATGGTGACTTTATAACACATCAATCTATTGATTTTGGGAGTTATGATCTATAAGGATAAATGAGTGAAGATGGAGAGTATTTAATGACTTGGGATGAAAAATCAAAGGAAATTTAAATTAGAAAATATCATTAAGAGTGAATCATCATTCAAATATTTAATCATTATTTTAATATTAGAAAAAGAAATAGTTAATTATTATAATTTAAGATATCACAATTAGGATTTGGAGCATTGGATATGATTTGGAAGAAAAAATAAAAACTCAAACTATTGGTTAAAATCTTTACTTTCAAAAATCGCTTGTTATAGCAAAAGTAGACAAATTAGTATTGAACCTCTTTACATTTTTATTTTAGATAATATATCCTTCTTTGTCTTCAATAGATTTTTCACAACACCTACTGTGCAATTCTAATCTACATATATAATTATATTATACAATTTTTGAAAGAGGCATTTTTAGTTATATCAAATATAAATATATACCAATTTACTCAAAATATTTCTTCCTAAATTGAATAAAATGAAATTAACCTAAATATAAATTGGTTAGAATTGAATTGATAGAAAAGACAGTGACTATTAATTAGGATTGGAATCGTTCCAATTTCATAAGATATATTAATATTAACATTTGGAATATAAATAGGAATCTATTTAATACATTATAAAAGCTGTGAACACCCAATTATACTGAGATATTAAAGTAATTTCAATAAGCTGTTAAACTATTTCTTTCTACAGTACTTTAAAGGAAATTGATCGTTGTTCTTTTTTCCCTATTTACTCAATCGAATTCTAACTGAATATTTTCTGACAGTTCTATCATATACTTAATATTTTAAGACTTCATCAAAAACCTCATTTATGGGAAAATTTAATTATAGTTTAACTTCTTAATTCTTGAAATTGACCGATATTTTGGTTTCTCATTTTGAAAAGGTCTTGATACAATTTTCCAATATCATATCTATTAATATAATTGAAACTTTTACTTGTAGCTGTAAAAGGTAACCCTTGTTCGGAATCTTCAAATTGTTGAGGAGTAAGTAAGAATAATTTTGGGAATTGGAAGGGTTTATGCTTTCTTTCATTGATTTAATCCAATAGTGTTTTTATACTATCTAATTTTTGCTTTCCTTTGAATATATCATCAATAATTGATAATTTAATGATATTTAAGTTGATTTTTCTGTGTGTTCTAATAATTATGTATGTAAATTTCAATAAGTAGTTAATTTTTAAATATTTTATTCTAAAACAATTATATATGTTTGAAATGCTAAATAATACTCACAAAAATGATTAATGAGACAATGTAAAGGCATAAAATTGATTGACTTAGCAGCAAACTAAGAGTTAAACTTTTGCTATTGCATAGAAAAAGTTTGATTTCTCAGAGAGGCACAGTAGGATTTTAATATCCATTTGAATACTTTTTACTGAATCATTCGATTTGACAAATAAATAGGTCATCAGAAGTGAAATTGACTGAATATTATGATGTTAGTGGCTGCTATATTTTAAGACCATGTGCATATTTCATATGGAAATAAATTAAAGACTTTTAAATGATCTTTTTAGAACAGAAGATGTTGATAATACTTATTTCCAAATGTTTCTTTCTGCAAACACTTAAATATAAAAGAAGGATTTGATCTACACTAATTCAAGTGATACAACCATTTTGATCACATTCTTTGCAGGACTCTGAACATTTTCACATGTTGTTAGACTATCAGGATAGTAGGAAGAGTTAAATACACATTATGATAAGTAGTTTAGTTCATGGTTAATATCTAAGCAAGTTAAACATTAGAATGTANTTCTATCATATACTTAATATTTTAAGACTTCATCAAAAACCTCATTTATGGGAAAATTTAATTATAGTTTAACTTCTTAATTCTTGAAATTGACCGATATTTTGGTTTCTCATTTTGAAAAGGTCTTGATACAATTTTCCAATATCATATCTATTAATATAATTGAAACTTTTACTTGTAGCTGTAAAAGGTAACCCTTGTTCGGAATCTTCAAATTGTTGAGGAGTAAGTAAGAATAATTTTGGGAATTGGAAGGGTTTATGCTTTCTTTCATTGATTTAATCCAATAGTGTTTTTATACTATCTAATTTTTGCTTTCCTTTGAATATATCATCAATAATTGATAATTTAATGATATTTAAGTTGATTTTTCTGTGTGTTCTAATAATTATGTATGTAAATTTCAATAAGTAGTTAATTTTTAAATATTTTATTCTAAAACAATTATATATGTTTGAAATGCTAAATAATACTCACAAAAATGATTAATGAGACAATGTAAAGGCATAAAATTGATTGACTTAGCAGCAAACTAAGAGTTAAACTTTTGCTATTGCATAGAAAAAGTTTGATTTCTCAGAGAGGCACAGTAGGATTTTAATATCCATTTGAATACTTTTTACTGAATCATTCGATTTGACAAATAAATAGGTCATCAGAAGTGAAATTGACTGAATATTATGATGTTAGTGGCTGCTATATTTTAAGACCATGTGCATATTTCATATGGAAATAAATTAAAGACTTTTAAATGATCTTTTTAGAACAGAAGATGTTGATAATACTTATTTCCAAATGTTTCTTTCTGCAAACACTTAAATATAAAAGAAGGATTTGATCTACACTAATTCAAGTGATACAACCATTTTGATCACATTCTTTGCAGGACTCTGAACATTTTCACATGTTGTTAGACTATCAGGATAGTAGGAAGAGTTAAATACACATTATGATAAGTAGTTTAGTTCATGGTTAATATCTAAGCAAGTTAAACATTAGAATGTATCATTAAATTCAATTAAAAAAATTAACTATAAAATTTTAGCAAGTCCTACATAAACAAGGAATGCAAAATAATTAATATCATTTCTCCATCCTAGTTTGCATTCACAAGTATCAAGTTATTAAAGTATTTGCTCTTAATTTTAATTGCACAAAACAAACATGTTAATTAACATTAGATGCATGAGACACCATGAAAGCTTAAAATCAACCCTTGTTTCAAATGCATCAAATATTCTATTGACTGCTCAATTTGGATCCAAGCAAGTTAAACAGCGATTCTAATTTTATTCTCAAGTTAAACATGGATCTTAGAACATATCAACATCTCCTAAAATATTCTTAAAACACCTGGTTATGCCTTTTAGTAAGTTCATAATAAAATTTTTACGTTATTTCATCATCAGTTTTTTATTAAATTATTTTGTATTTATACAAAATTTAATTACACTGTTATTTTCATTATTTATAATATTTTAATTATTAAAAATAAAATAAACATGTTTTCTTTTTTAAGTAAATAGACTCAACTCTAATTAAAACAGTTAAACTATAAACAGTAACTTTGAACAGTGTAATTCTCCCAAATTTGACAAATTATATTTATCTTTAAGATAATTTTTAAGGGAATTAGGCAATAATAGAGGAAAAAAATAAAATTTCAGGGATTGTATTTTGAAATTTTATTAATAAGATAATAACCGTTGGTTCTGAAGGTTTCGAGTCTGAAGTTGGCTTATAATTACTTACTCTTTACAAGAAATGCTCAAATTCATGAAAAGTCAATAATTATACTCCAATTATTTATCTTAATGTATTCCATAAAACTATTGCCAAAAATATATTATTAGAATAAAAAAATTACTTGCAAGAAAATTATTTTTACTAATGTAATTTATATAAAGAACTTTACTCCAAATTGAGATTTTGTTGTAATACCTAGAATTCAATGGTAATATTTTAAACGAAGGCTATTTCAATTGAAAATAAAAGAAAAAATCTAAATAATAAATAAGTACATGAAGATTGATTTTTAATAAAGTAGAGATATTTATAAGATCAAACTCAATTATTTTTTCATCTTAAAGAATTTTTGGCTGTAATATTATATTATTTGTAAGGATAATTTAAAGTTTTTATAACTTAGGAGACAATACTCTTATGAATGGCCAATTTAATATAATTAACAAAATAGCAAAATAAATAAAGTTAATTGAATCATAATTGTAAAGATGATCTTATAAATCTAGTATCTAAATAGATGAAAACTAATTATTGATTTTATATTTCCAATTGATTATAATAAATCCAATTATTATCAAGAATTGTCAAATTTACTAAAATTCCATTTGAATTTTTTTAGGTATTAATTATTAAAGTTTAATCATATGGATAAATCAATAATTTAATAATAGTGATTCAATTTCCAATTCATTACTAATTCTTTAGGAAAGCATCTTAGTTGTCGTAATTTAAAAAAAATTCCAAATATGGGTATATTGGCTCATTAAAAAATACATTGTTGATAGCCAGCTAACTTTGAGGTTGGTAGGGATTTTAATTTACTAATAAATTTGTTGGACATCTCACAACATAAGACTCAAAGTATTATTAACAATAATGAAATTGTTATGTGCAAATTTATTTTACAAATAATCCATAAGGGCACTCAAAAAATTTAAGAATAACAAGGTATACCAACATAATTAATTAGATTCTTAATTAATAATTTATTCAACTCCTAAATGTAAAGTAAATTACTTATTACTTATTACTTATATATTTAAGATTAGTAGTGAGCTTAATCATAAAATTGCTTGATTTTAGAAAATGAAATATATTAATTTTTTATAAAAAAAAGATGTTTATATAGTAAAGACTTCGGATCATTTTTGAATAACAAATAATTTTATTAAAAAAACCATAAAGAGCTCCAATAAACTTGCGATTGAGATTAAATTAATATGACTTATCATTTAAAAATATTTATCAAATACCTAAATGGTGATTTGAATTACTGCAAACATTCATCTAACATTCTCAAAATTTATTAGCTCTGTTGTTTTTAACCCATGTATTATTTGGAATGATCTTTATAGCTTTTTCATAAAATATTATGGCTTCTTCAAATTTATCCTGCTATTGTAAACAAAAACCTATTGATAGTAAAATACATCAACCTTTTGCACTTAATGAATCAAAATAATTTGGATTAATTGATAAAGATGAGTCAATCACCTACATAGCTTCCTTAAACATTTTTAATTTTGTTAATGCGGTGCCTTCAAATTAAAACATTCTTATTACCTTTACAAAATAATGAACTACAATGCTTTGAATCGACTTCCAACGCCTTATCTGCCCAAATGATTGCTTCATTATATTAACTAAGCATCCTTAAACTCTCAGCTAACATTTTTAATAATATTTATACCTTTACAAAATAAAGAATTACGATGCTTTGGATCGACTTCCAACGCCTTATCTGCCCAAATGATTGCTTCATTATATTAACTAAGCATCCTTAAACTCTCAGCTAACAATTTTAATAATATTTATACCTTTACAAAATAATGAACTACAATGCTTTGGATCGACTTCCAACGCCTTATCCGCCCAAATGATTGCTTCATTATATTAACTAAGCATCATTAAACTCTCAGCTAACATTTTTAATAATATTTATACCTTTACAAGATAATGAATTACAATACTTTGGATCGACTTCCATCGCCTTATCTGCCCAAATGATTGCTTCATTATATTAACCAAGCATCCTTAAACTCTCAGCTAACAATTTTAATAATATTTATACCTTTACAAAATAATGAATTACGATGCTTTGGATCGACTTCCAACGCCTTATCTGCCCAAATGATTGCATCATTATATTAACTAAGCATCCTTAAACTATCAGCTAACAAATTAATAGGAATTATACCTTTACAAAAATAAAAGGATGAGAATTATTGTGTTGAATTAAAAATTAATGCTTGATCAAAAAGTTCAATCGCCTCTTCAAATTTCTTATCATTTTAATATAATTGATAGCCTAATTAATTGATTGATTACCTTTTTCATATAATTCTTGTGACATTTGAATATATGAATTAGATATTGAATAATAATTTAATTCAGCTAATTATAATCCAGATGTAACCTTTTGCAATTAATTTTAGAATTCTTTGATTGATTATTAGATTTAGTTATCAATTGCTTATTAAATTGATTTGAATTGGATAGTTTCTGCAAAAAAGGAATTCATCTATTTTGAATTTAAATTAAGAAATTGTTATTTAGATTTCTAATATTTAGATCTAAGCCCATCAATCAATAAATGGAATTACTAATATGCCAAATCCATTTTTTTATACAAACTCATAATTAAATCATTACATTCTTTTTCAATTTTTTCAATGAATTCAAATAACATTGGTAACTCTTATTAATTTTAGGGATGAGAAACATGACATCCTTCTCTCAAACATTAAATACAATAGAATCTATTAACTCTACAGGACTCATTAAAACATATCAATTTGACATCATTGGCATGTTCTGAATTAGGACATTTAATAGTTTCTGAATCGATTTATTGCATAATTAATATAGATTTTAAATCTTATTCTATTTCTATTAAAATGTTAATAAATTCATTATAAGGAAATTATATTATTAAGTATTAAATAATATCATCTAATCTATTCTAATTTAAATATTTCTGCATATTTAACTTCAATTATACTTGTTAAGTTATATTTTTAAATCTAAGATTTCTTATCAAGTTATATTTATTAAAATCCTTGTCTATGTAAGCTGATTTTGAAAAGAGGCAGACAAGTTTGTTATCAAAACTAAAGCGCACTACACTACTATAAAATTACATTGGATAATTTTGGATAAACATTTTTATGATAGTCCAGCTTTAATAAGATTTGATGAAGGTGAATTCTAAGTTATCTAGAAGTTAATATTTTTGGTAGGAAACAAGGAAATCAATATTTACTTCTAAAGAATCCAATTTGAAAATAGAAGAGATCAAAAGAAAATTGTTTTGATACATGCACATTTACTCATATGCTCCTCCAAGGGCTAGATGAGAATAATCAGCTCTGAAGCAGATATTAATCTTTATAAATATGAGTAATAGGTTTTGAAGCAGATATTAATATATTTAGCGACTTTTTAAAGAAGTGGACGAAGAAAAAGGTTTAAAGAGTGGAGAATGAATAAATATTTAAGTTATTAGTAGATTTGAGATTCAATTAGTATGAAATCTAATTCTCTCTAATTTAAAGAAGAAATCTATTTTACACCATTTAATTCTTGCAATTTAATAATTATATCATTGTAGTCATCGTTGCAATCAACTTATATCAATTACTTTAATGAGAACATATCTTTTCACTAAATCAAACCTATAGGGAACACATGCTCTACATCTTATTCTGAAAACCTGATTCAGATTATGAGAGTAGTTGTTAAACAATCTTTAATAGAGGTTACCATAATAATTTTTAATAATTCTTCCACAGATTAACTAGGTATTTTGATGCCAAAACTGTATTGAAATCACTAATATTACTATATCTATCTCTATTAACCTAAAAATTTTGATTTGTGCTTCCACTTTTATGACATTTTAAGACAATCAAGCCAACTTTACTTTGACGATGCTAATTGTTAGCTGCTCTCTAAACTACCTGTCTTTTTCTTTATTTTATGAAAACCTCACTTCCTTTTATTACACTATTGCTATCTAAGAAACTCTGCGAATTTCCACAATATTTACTTCATTTGAAGCAATTCATAGTAAAGAAGAACCTTTATATGAAAACAAGATCTCAATATAATCAAAAAAGTCTAAAATCTAAAAAAATCAATTTAAAAAGAGCTTTTATTTGAAGATCAGCATTTATCCATCTTAACTATTTTTATAGATGACCCTAGCCAACCTTTTTTTGTAAAATTCTATCAAGCTATTTCTATCTAAAGCCGCTACTTCTCCATTTAATATAAATCATATCAATTCTCACTCTTATTGAAAAGAAATTTCAAGATTCAGCCTTAGTTATTCTTACTCTTTAAGAACCATAACGATTAGTTGATCATTGGCAGAAATTATAGTATTTCTTTCTCAGATTAAATATTGTGTCAAATACTTTAGCAGTTTTTATGGCTCGGCTCAAAGGCTGTCACAAACTTTTTGACGACCTCCATCTCCCTAACTTAGGAACAGCATTTTCATTTTTCTGTCTTATTCTTTTGGCATCTTCTCAATCTCCACTGATATAGCAAATGGTTCTTAATCAGGATTCCTAAAAATACTCCTGAATAGTGTTCCCAAGATTCTTATTGGATTTTGCTTCTTGAGATGAGGTTTAACAAAACACGTGCTATATTTCATTCAACTTCAGAAGTAGCTATCTATTGCTTTCACACGTTTGTTCTCTTAAAATAATGTCTACATCACCTCCCTAGTATTAGGAATATTGTAGATATTGAGATTAATATTCGTAAATGTTTCGATAGCCATCTGAATTGATACAATTTTTCAGCAGACATTGCTATTGTGCAAAACTTTTTAAAATCTAAATTCCTTTTCTAATACAGAGAATCTTTGCTGCATAACTAGCTAAGGTTGTACTATTAATAGGTACTCTATACTCCACATAAGGGTTATAATTTCCAGGTAACCTAGCTATTCCTTTCCTAATGCTTTACTTATGCCTCATCGTTTAGTCTTTTATACCTTTTTTCCATTCCCCTGTTGGTTTTTTGTATTGAAAATTGTATTATTCTTGAATCTGCATGAAATACATTTTACCTTCTATAAAACTGCTCATTTACCTTTTATAAAATTCCTCAACTTATACAGAAGTTGCCTATAGCAGAATTTTAGTTGACTGTGTAACTTCATGGCTTGCATTCCAAGATAACATTTATTACAAACGACATCCAGTGAAACCATTTATCTACTAAAGTCTCCTTATTTTTTTGGTGTATCCACCTATCCATATTTGATTGGATCATTTGATTATATACATTCAACACAGGCCAAAATAGACAATTCAGTTTTTTAAGGATTCAAGTTAAACATAATAATTTCTTTTCCATGTTTATTACATTAAATCTTTAAACTTGGTGTTTTCTATTTAATATTTAATTTAAATAATTATTTACTTATGGATCTTCTTCTATTTTATTAAGTAATTACAATTACTTTATATCAGTATTCTCATTTTCTACTTTTGTTTTTTCTAAACATTCTTTGATTTCAATTATTTTAGGACAATTAATTATTGATTATAACTAATTTAATATTGAATCAAAAATAAATTATAAAAGGATTTTATTAATATTAAATAATAATAATTTCTTTTTATTACCTCGTGATAATTTTTCTCATTCTAGATTAATTGTTCAGTTTATTCATTTCATAATTAGGTAAAATCTCCATTAAGCTTAGTATGAAATTCACTCCTTTAATTTGCTGAAAAATTCAGTAATTCAAAGAGTTGATTTTTTTAATATCGAATGCTGAAATAAGTTTAGATTGGTTTAAAGTTGTTATTTCAGTTACTTCATCTAAAGGAAAAATCCAAATTTGAATTTTTTGGATTGTCAAGCAACATTTAGGATTGTTTTGAATATGAGTAAGGTTAATTAATAGGGCGATATTAAACACTTGATTATAAAATGGAAATAGACCACCAAAAGCCTAAAGTTCTTCATTCAAAGCTTTATAGCATAACATATTCATAATCTCCACTTTTATAAAATTTCCTAAGTTTATGATTATAATGCTTGTAGGGTTACAACCTTTAATAATTTAAAATTAATTAAATTCAAAGATTTTGCTGTCTGAACAAATATTCACTTAATGTGGGCAATAATAATAGAATAGCAAAAAAATTAAAATTAGATACTAGCTCTGTCTTAATTAATTCTTAAAATTGATTNAATTACTTTATATCTGTATTCTCATTTTCTACTTTTGTTTTTTCTAAACATTCTTTGATTTCAATTAATTTAGGACAATTAATTATTGATTATAACTAATTTAATATTGAATCAATATAAGAATTATCATCAAGAGATTTCTCTAATTGTTTAGGAATTTCAAAATTGAATGATCCTTTGTAATCCTTTGATAAAATCCTTACATCTTCATCAAAAGTTAAAATTGTGGATTTTGATTCTTAATCATCTAATTCATTTCCAATTCAGTTACTTTCTAATTTAAATTAGATTATAGTTTGTCTATGGTAATATTAATAGACACTTTCATTCTTTTACTTATGATTTGATTTATTTAAAGTTTTGAATTCTACTTTGATATTCTTTGATTTTATTGTTCAATTACTCACTTTTCATTTATTTGATCATGTTTTAGTTTCTTCTACCAAAACCATATTCTAAATATCAATTTTCTCCATTAAACACTTTATGCAAAGGTATTTATCTTCATCAACTGTTGATTATTTTAAATCTATAGTCAAAATCTCTAATTTATGTTTTTACCAACCTTCCTATCTATATCAGATAACATTTATATATATTTAATTATATTAATATTAAATAATAATAATTTCTTTTTATTACCTCGTGATAATTTTTCTCATTCTAGATTAATTGTTCAGTTTATTCATTTCATAATTAGGTAAAATCTCCATTAAGCTTAGTATGAAATTCACTCCTTTAATTTGCTGAAAAATTCAGTAATTCAAAGAGTTGATTTTTTTAATATCGAATGCTGAAATAAGTTTAGATTGGTTTAAAGTTGTTATTTCAGTTACTTCATCTAAAGGAAAAATCCAAATTTGAATTTTTTGGATTGTCAAGCAACATTTAGGATTGTTTTGAATATGAGTAAGGTTAATTAATAGGGCGATATTAAACACTTGATTATAAAATGGAAATAGACCACCAAAAGCCTAAAGTTCTTCATTCAAAGCTTTATAGCATAACATATTCATAATCTCCACTTTTATAAAATTTCCTAAGTTTATGATTATAATGCTTGTAGGGTTACAACCTTTAATAATTTAAAATTAATTAAATTCAAAGATTTTGCTGTCTGAACAAATATTCACTTAATGTGGGCAATAATAATAGAATAGCAAAAAAATTAAAATTAGATACTAGCTCTGTCTTAATTAATTCTTAAAATTGATTAATCTCGACACTATTAGTAATGAGGTGGCAAATATCGTATCTCATCATTTAAGTTCTTCTTGTTGAACATCCAAAATTTTAGTAGCCTCAAAATTAATAATATGAATCCTTGCTTTACTAAAGGACAATCAAATTAATTTAAAATATTTATCTTCATAAAAAGATATTAAATCAATTTCATTATTCTTTGAGGTAAAAATATTAGAAATATTTTGTAGAGTCCTAAATTAATTTGATTGTAAAACTAAGTTTATTTATTTTTATTTTTCAAATCTTCTATAATATTGCATCTCTTTCTTAACTTTACATGCTCATGGATAATAGTTAGAACGAAATTATATTATCATTATATATAGCATATTTCATATGAATACTTAGATTTATTAAAACTAATATTATTTGCTTTCTTCAACGTTATGGTATCTTAGAATATACTTTACCTACCAAAAAGGAATTTAAAATCCTTTAAAAGAAAAAAAAACTAACACAAAATTAATTTACTCATATAATGTAAGAAGCTCTAGAGCAATATGTATCAAAACAATGAAGAAATGAATTATAAATAAAATTGTAGATAATTCATAATGGTTTTTCTAAAATGGGTTTTGAAATTGAAACATACACTCTATTTGAAAAATTAATAAATTTGCATTAAGTTTATTTTTAGAAATTGTATTGGTCAGCAGGAATGTTCTCTTGTAATCCTCTTCTGAAACTTAAGTTTTTTTAATAATATAGGGTGCTTATTTTTGTTTATCAAAAGGAATCAGAAGCATAGATATTTAGTGTTTTAACAAACAAGAACAAAAATAATTCAAATTATATAATATGATAAATTTGAAGATATCTCTACTTATAAATTATTTAAGCAATTATATGCTAATAAACAACTTTGAGTGTGAATAACTTTAATGGGATTGAAAAAGTAATACAATGAGTTTGAATATCCTATGCTTCTAATTCTTATAATTCTTAGAAGCATAAAGTAAATGGGAAACGTGGTTAGTTAAATTTATTGATATAAAATAATCTTTATAAATGTCAGTTTGAATGATTTATCAAACGTTATAATCAAAATACTTGTATCTCATTTATCAAAAGTGTGTGATGCCATTGCATCTGTATTCAGATTTCATTTAATGACAGCTATGCATCATTTCATTTTGAAGAATTAATTGTATACTCTAAAATCAGGCTTAGCAATATTATGCAACCCAATAGAGAGGGTTTTTTTAAATAAATGCTCTTTAGATCTAGTAATACTATTTATAATGATAAGAAGAAATAATATACAAAAAAATAATTTATGATATTTGAAAAAATCTATTGCTATACTTTCTAATCCTCTTAGTATGCTTTTCTAATTAGTTCCTTTACAAATATTATGATATATCTTAATAAGCCACTTTTTATTATTATGTAGAATTTCTAATATATACTTCAGGTTTCTTTGTTAAATTTACACCTTTTCAAATTCCTTTTTTACAATTTTGAGATTGCCAAAGGGAATTCCTAAAATCTAATGTAATCTTTTCACAATTATAAATTTCCAATTCTTAGTTGCTATAAATTTAACATATCAGAATGGTTGTATTATAAAAAATTTACGCCCTAAACACTATCATCTAAATGAAGTAAATTAAGAGTTATCGCAACTCGATAATGCAAGATTACTAAAACCTTCAATATAATACTGTTCAACAATCGTACATATCTAACTTTGAAAATCTTTTCTTTACTATTCATTAGAAATATGAGTATGAAAAAACTTTTAGAATTACACGAGAGAGCGAAAAATGTATTAAAAAAATTTGAAATGCTGGTGTTAGCTTGTAATCTGAATGTATCAATCTATTGCAAATTTTATTTTATAGCCAATGATTATGTTAATTGAACGAAAATCAATTAATATAAATAATAATATGAAAGTCAATAAATAATCTAATTAAGATTCAATTCTGTAGACCTGAGATCATCCTCCTTAAGAATATATTCATTCTTGTTTAGGAGTCCAAGTATTTCCTTGATCCATGTTCCTTCTTCTTTAGAAGAATTTTGCCATTTTTCTGATCAAAATCACTTCAGCATCCTTCCTTTTAAAGTTAATTTTTATTGTTGCAATAGTAACATTTACTGAAATCATGAATAAATAACAATATTCGCTAATTTTATTAAGAGTGAATTGAAGTAACAAACGATCAATATTTCAAGCAATAATTTCAAATTATGAAGAGTAAATTTTCCTCAATAAATTTCTTAGTTGCCCAATTTTTTAATCCTTTCATCCTCTAATTGTAGTTGTCTAAAGACTAATTGTTATATTGGTTTATTTATATTCAACATATTTATTTCTTCAAGGGTTATAAGAATATCAATTTAATTCTGTTCAATGTTATTTCGATTAATATCTTACATTAGATAGTCTTGCAATTCCTTTTTGAATAAAAACTCTATTAAAAGTCACCATTCCAAATTTCTTACAAATAAAAAAATGACATATTTCTAGTAATAAGTCCAAACTAAAGTTTAAGTCAAATAATTAGAACAATCGATAGTATTATAAGGATTTAAAAAATAAATAATATTATTATCTTTCAAACATGTTTTGGCCTTCAACCAAATACTACAAACGGAGAGTATATTAACTTATGTTCCCAATTTTCTATTTATTATTTTTAAATCCATTGTAACAGATTATTCATTAATTTTCTTAAACGATTAAAGAACTTTTATAGAGCAGAGTATGTATAAATATTTCTAAATTTTATTTTATTCTTAATATTTGGCAAATAAAAACAAATTCAAACTATACCTTCTTGAATAATCCTACATAATTTATATGCAAAACTAATTAAAATTAATGAGGTATATAGATAGGTTGCCTGTCTAATTTGTTAAATATATAATATTTCTGATAGAAATAAATTGGAGATTCATGATTATATCATTATAAGGAAACATATAATTATATTATCTAGTTTAGTTAAATAGAAAAAGTATCAAATAGTAAATTAGTAAATTCAATTAAATTTTATGTATAAGAATGTTAAGATATAATAAATTACAATTATTTTAGAATATGATTTGGATATTTAAATTGATATATTTATTTGTTCAACTATATTATGATTTTTTAACATATTAACCTGATTATATAGAGTGAATTACTTAAAAATGCTTACTTGAAATTTTAATCTGGATTAATCTAATATGCTTAATTGAAAAAAGAATATGCGGTTTCTAATTAGTTTTATTCTAATAAAATAAAGGCTAACATAAAAATAGTTTAAAATTTACCTTTTCCATATAATGAATAAGTATGTGATGAGTTTATGGCCAAAACTTTGTCATAATACTCTTGTGCTTAGTCAAGTTGATTCAACCCTCTTAGACAATCACCTTTAACTAAGTTCAATTCAAATTACCTTTTCCAGATAATGAACTCACTTGTTATGGATTTAAGGCCAAAGCTTTGTCATACCATTCTAGTGCTAATACTAATTGATTCAACAATCTTAAACATTCAGCTTTAATTATTTTCAATTCAAATTACCTATTCCAAATAATGAATTCAAATGTTATGGATATAAGGCCAAAGCTTTGTCATACCATACTTGTGCTAATTCAAATTTATTCAACAATCTTAGACATTCACCTTTGATTAATTCCAAATCAAATTACCTTTCCAACAAAATGAATCCATATGGTAGGGATATATGGACAAAGCTTAATCAAAATATTCAATAGCTTTTTCATAGTGATGGATTGTACATAAGAGCATTCCTAACATAATTCCTTAAATTTACCATTTCCATATAATCCTAAATAGGAATTGTTTTTGATAGATAATGAATTTATTATACATTTCTATCCTTCATCAATTTCACTTAAAAACAATAAACAAATTCCTTTAATAATTTAATATATAATTTGTTACCTTTTCCTGCCATTGCTTCTGAATAATGAGGATCTTTAATTAAAACCTTATCATATGCCTTAATAGCTTCTTCATATCTCATTAAGGACCTTAAACAATCACCTAATAAATATTAAATCGACATTTACCAAAATAAAAGAAATAGTCACTATTAAAGGAATTTAATTCAATAGATTTTAGATAGTATTATAATGCATGATGAAATTAATAAGTCTCCCTTAAACATTCCCCTAAAAATAATAATTATGTAATACCTATTCCAAATTATGCTGCTGAATTATTTAAATTTATTGAAATACATTTTTCATAATATTACTAAGCCTACTTATAAGACTGTTAATTTTTTAAAATGTCACCTAAATTAAATAGTAATCTAATACCCAATTTCAATAAAGAGAGTTCATGTTTTGGATTAATTTAAATTATCTCTATGCATATCTACTTAGCAAGTTCTGGATAATTCGATTAACTTAATGAAATTGCTTAAAATAATAATCATTGCTAACCTTTTTAATACATAATTTCTACATTATAAGGTTCATTTAATAATAACTTATCAAATAGTTTAATTACTTCATTTTATTAATTTCCAATATTTAAAGAGATACCTTAACCTAAAGATGAATTAAAACCGCTTTAATATTCATCTTTATTAATTTTAATTTACTAATCAGTGATCTAATATTAAATCAAATGTAATTCTAATTTTGTAAAAAGATCATCTAAAATGTTTTAGAATTTGATCAAAAATCCTAAAATGTTGGTATTCAAATGATTCTTAAATTCATCAAATCTAAGTAAAGAATCAAGTGCTTATTATTTTTAATAAGTTTTTAATTAATTAATTTTATCTTCTAATCCGCAGAACTTGTATGATAAACCAGACATAAACCTCTCATATGATTTAAATGTTGATTAGAATTAAATTTGGCATTCTTAAACGAGCTTTATAGAATGTTTTGATTTCTCAATTAAAAATTAATTTAAATCATGAATGCTAAGGACATCTTCATCGTAATGTTATAAATGTTTATTCTACTTTTGACAATTCAGACAGAAAATCCGATTCTCATTGCAATCAATTTATTTACACCAAAAAAGTGCAGTTTATTCAGGATGATCTTTACATTTAAAATCTTAACTCTATTAAAATTAAGAGTCTTAATTCATTATTTTTATTATTAATTTATTATATAAACAATATACCATTTCAATATATATTCTATAATATATATTATTTTAATTAAAACAACTAACAAAAATCAATTAGATACTTCTTTTGATCTAGTTTCTTTAAATTTATAGAACCCCACAAACATGTTATTTTGAAATATAATTCAAAATTTTCTATTTTTTACTGAAATTTAGCTTTAAATGGAAGAATATTACTCCATTTTAAGTTTACTTTAAATCATTTTGAAACAAAAAAAAACAAAGAGACTTTAATAGCTTAACCTCAGTCTTATGGAATCTTTCCAAAATCATACAATGAGAGGAGGAATATATTTTCGGCTTCAGAATAGAAGTAAAATGAGTTTAAAGGTTCTTTATAAAATGATATCTGAATTTATAGCTATTTCTAAACTGCTATACCCAACATGTAGAAAGTTATGAAACAGTGTGATATAATTAACCAGGTTTGTGCATTACTTTCAAGAGAAACGGTTTAGTATATTTTAATCCCTGCAAGCCACAAGGTATTATAATGCAATCAGATGAAAACAAAACGAGGCAGAATCAATAAATGGAGACTTAAATAATAGTTTTGAGTTAGAATAGTTTCTAACTCAGCAATTAACCTTTTTTTTTGAAAATATTCTTGGTTAATAAAAGTGATACTCTTTTTCTCTGTAATTCCAGCTCAACTAAAATTAAACAATTTTTTACTTTAAATATATAGTTTAATTTCTTATTATTTTTCAATAAGATGATGTACTATTCAGCAGACTACTTATTATTAAATGTCTATTTCTAATTGCTTTAATTTTAAAAACTATCAATCAAATACTTTGAAGATTGTGTTCCTTAGAAGAAGTACAAAAGCCATCAAATTTTAATTCATAGTTGTGATCAAAATATAAAGAAAAACAACTTTGAATTGTTTTAAAAAAATATTAATATACTATTAGAAATTAGTAGTGTATATTTCATAGATATTCAAATATGAAAATACATTAAGTTTTGAAATTAATTTGAAAAGCTCAATCACATTTATTAAGTGTAATCTATAATTAAGTAAAGAAGACATATTTTAAATGAAATATATGGATGATCATTAACAGTATAAATATGTCTAATTTTCTTGTTTTTTTAAATAATTTA